AAAAGGATCATAAACTATGATCAAGTGGGATTTATCCCAGAGATGCAAGGATTTTTCAATATTCACAAATCAATCAATGTGATACACTACACTAACAAATTGAAGAATAAAAACCATATGATCATCTCAATAGATGTAGAAAAAGTTTCTGATAAAACTCAAAATTCATTTATGATAAAAACTCTCTAGAAAGTGGATAGAGGGAACATACCTCAACATAATAAAGGCTATATATGACAAACCCACAGCTAACATCATATTCGATGGTGTAAAGTTGAAAGCATTCCCTCTAAGATCAGGAACAAGACAAGAATGCCCACTCTTGCCACTTTTATTCAACATACTTTTGGAATTCCTATCCACAGCAATCAGAGAAGAAAAAGAAATAAAAGGAATCTAAATTGGAAAGGAAGAGGTAAAACTGTCACAGTTTGCAGATGACATGATACTATACAAAGAAAATCCTAAAGACACTACCAGAAAACTATAAGAGCTCATCAATCAGTGGTGCTGGGAAAACTGGATAGCTACATGTAAAAGAATGAAATTAGAACATTCTCTAACACCATAAACAAAAATAAACTCAAAATGGATTGAAGACCTAAATGTGAGACCGGATACTCTAAAACTCCTAGAGGAAAGCATAGATAGGACACTCTTTGAAATAAATTGCAGCAGTATCTTCTTGGATCATCTCTTAGAGTAATGGAAATAAAAACAAAAAGACAACAAATGGGACCTAATTAAACTTAAAAGCTTTTGCACAAAAAAGGAAAACGTAAACAAAATGAAGAGACAGCCTACAGAACGGGAGAAAATATTTGCAAATGATGTGGCCGACAAGGGGTTAATTTCCAAACTATACAAATAACTCAGACAGCTTAATATCAAAAAAACAAACAGGCCAATCAAAAAACGGGCAGAAGCTCTAAATAGACATTTCTCCAAAAGATGACATACAGATGGCCAACAGGCACATGAAAGATACTCAATATTGCTAATTATTAGAGAAATGCAGATCAAAACTATGAGGTATCACCTTACCCCAGTAAGAATGGCCATCATCAAAAAGTCTACAAATAATAAGAGCCGGTGAAGGTGTGATAAAAAGGAACCTGCCACACTGTTGGTGGAAAAGCATTTTGATATACTTTTGTCTAGCTGAGGGAGGCATATTGATGAGAGAGAACATTTACCATTGTTGCTATAGTATTGGATTAACAAATACTTTTCTATTTGGCCAATGATTTGATAACTTTTGATACTGAATATTGTGAGGGGAAAATGGCTCACAAAAGGCTTAGACAGAAAATTGATGATATTTAAGCTCTTAAAAACAATATTAAACATTGTAATAAAAAGCAAGAGACATTCTATTCAAGATTGTGGTTATTCCAGGCTAGATATATTTCCAAAATCTCTCTCTCTCCATCCGGATGCCACTGCCTTATTTTATTCCCTTATTACTTTCATAGTGTTGTCCATTCTGCTTGCAATATTGCATACATTCTCTCCCTGCCCTCCAATCCATCATCTATACCCAAAGATCAGAATCCCTACATGACAGACAAGACTTCACTATTGGCCTCAAGACACTTTCTCAGATTATCTCCTACTCAATGCATGTTTCAAACTCAACTGACCTCATATAGCAACTACCAACTGCAGAAGGATATAGACAAGCAATTCAAATACGATGTGATGAGTATTACAATAGAGGAGTAAGTTTAGGGAACAATGGAAAATAAAAGAAAGGAAGGTAACCTTAACTAGAACAGGGGTGGGGTTTTGAAGGAGGAGTGGGAAATACTAAAGAAGAACTAATGGGACAATTCCTTTTTTTCCTCATCTTTTATTTTATTTCTATTTTTTGCCTTTGGCTAGGGAAACTTCTCTCCATCTACTTGGCAAATGGCGACATTAGTAACATTTTGTTGCAGTAACTGGTTAGCAATCTACTTTGACGTGGAGACTACTTTACATTAGGGCCTACCTCTCGTTGTCTTTGTCCTGGCTCAGAGCCTGGTACCCAACAGCCACCCTTATCTGAGATACATGATTATCCCTTTCTGGATGCAAGTTACTATTTTGTACACATTGCTTAGCTAGGGCTTGTCATACAAAATAATGTGTGTTTGTATATGTGTGTGTGTGTGTGTGTGTGTGTGTAGTTTCTGATCTCTACCTCCCACTACTGTGAGTTTCCTAAATCAGGGATCAGATCCTCCTTATTAATTGTATATTTGTTTCTTTCATCTCTTTTGCTTTCCTTCCTGGGTTTAACACTTCTTACGTACTTGAAAAGATAATGTGCGTTGAATAAGTTCTCTATTCTGATATATATTTAAAAAAAAAAAACAAAACCAAAGTCTACATATCATCATAAGAAGTACAACTGCAGAATCCTTGCTTGTTACAAATAAAAATTATTAAAAACAAAAAGGTGACTTCTAAAGTTTTTTATTGTTTGTATTTCAAGATAACTTCAAACTTGCATAAGTTTCAAATCAAGGCACATAAACAATTCTATAGAAGAGATCTTCTGAAAAATATTCAATGCTAATATCATGAATAGCAGAGTATATAGAAAATACGCAAAAATCTTTCCTTTTAGAATTATAAGGTTTTCACATTAGAAAATACAAAAATATAAATAATATATCAAGAAATGGATAAAGTCATTTCAAATCTACTAATTTTAATTAACGCTTGCCATATTGACTTTAGTATATGTTTTCATGACAATTGAAGTAAAAACTTTCAAGTGTTAGTCTTTTCAAAAAATCTAAATCCAAAGAATCACAAAATTAAATTCTGCTGTCAGTTTACAATATGCTAAGACTTAACTACTATTTTTGTTAAGAGTGATAATTTTTTTTTCAAGAAATACTGGGTATTTAAGACAATAACTTAAAAGTAAATAAGAACTAAATCATAGGCCACAGACTGAATATATACAGTTAAGACATATATTTCTTTACCTATCTAAAAATATTAAATTGAGTTTTTAGAAATGTTTTAGGAAAAAAGAATTTCTAATATGTATTCTGGCTAAATACTAAAAAAAATTACAATTCCAAGATAGGTAGAAATAATTTCATACTTTTTATCTTAATATTCTGAAAATAATTTGTATCAAAAAGTAAAAATCTGTACCAATGTATTTTATTTCATTTTATTTCAGCACATGGATAGATGTTTCCAATTCTACTGCTGGACAGCAAAGTCAAATGAGCATTTATCACTTATTTGGAAAGTTTAGCATTTATTTGGAATGAATTATTTTAATTTAATGAGTAACAGGCATTATTATAGTCTATGAATCTTTTAAGCAGGCTTAGAGGGAAAAGAAAAAAAAATTCCAAATTACCTACAATTGTTACGTGATTTGAGTTCAAAACTTTATGCTTATAAATGTTTAACAGCACTACTTTCTCTCTCCAGTTAACAAGTTCTATTTTCCTATTTTCTTACTACAGCTTGAAAATGCACATTTCTAATAAACTTATAATAACCTAATCATATAACAACCTGTAATAATATTTTTCTGTGTAATACACATCTCTGTTTCCCGCTCCCCTGCCCAGGAACTGTGTGACACTAACGCATTTATATTACTGACATGTATTACATAAGATCTTGTGCAGACTTTCCTTTTTAAAAAAGTCAGAGAAAGAGGGTGTGATTTTAACTTCCTATTTGAAATGTGAACTTTTAAAAAGAAGTAAAATTAAAAATAATATATATAAATATGGGCATTATAATCCCACAGAAGCAAATGAAGCCCTTTGGAGGGAAAGAAAGATATGGAGAAAAAATATGGAGGAACGCATATGTATATATATATATACGTCCATTTATCTGTCTATGTGTATAATGCATATATATAGTTTATATGTATATATATCATATAACCAAAAGAAAAGGCAAATGTAGTCTTTTGAACAAACCATGTGTTGTGGACGAGACAATTCTAACTAGGAAAATTAATCTGGAGACCTCAAAGACACCATTTATGTAAAATGAGGAGATGAAGAAAAAATTCTAAGCATGTACATGTGATATTTGTGTAAAACAAGACAGAAAAGAAAATCAGTATTTAAATAAATTGAGATATTTTAATATCTAAATACTTCTAAATGAAGAAAAAACTTGGAGAAAGAAAAACTGCCTTTATTCTGTAATTTTTCGTTTCAGTTGAAAGCAATGATGACCTGGGGATTGTGAGGAAGACAGAACACTTAGAATTATTAAAATGGAAGAAGCGACTACGTTTCTTCTTACTTGCTATTTTTTTTTAATTAAAGAATAAAGAGTATTAATGTCTTTCTGCTTCTAAAATCAATTAACACTTTAACAGAGAAAAACAAACTCTTGTGAGATGTTTGAGAAATAAGGAAACTGGTCACATTTAAAGGACCTTAGAGGAAATTTTCTAACTTAAAAAGGTTTTGTTACAGAGTGTGCATTGGCTCGAACCTCTTTTATTGCTCCGACCTCTAAATTCCCATCAAAGCTGATGATTAAAGTCCTACCCACTGGCCAGGTCCCTACAATTATCCCATTGTGATGGCGCTCAACAGTGGGCGCCCTGCTATGGCCAGACATCAAGTCATTAGAGAACTGCGAGGGATGATGAAGACGGTTATTTTCATTCCCTTTTCAGCCCTTCTCAGGAGTGGCTCTTTAGTTCACAGAGCTCTGGGTACTTGCTTTCAAACTAACAAGCAATATTATAAATGGAGGCTGCATTATCATGATTGCAGACAATCTAAGGCACTTGACGGCCAAGGATTCTAGGTCCTTCGTGTGTGCTGTGTTGTATTTATCAGCTAAAAATACATAGATGGGGCAAACAATAAAAGGGAGGGGGAGCAATGAACGGGCTGGGAAGGGGGCAGGGAAAACAGAAAACATTTTTGTCAGTATCAAGAGAAAAATGCCTAAGAGAGAAAGGAGTATAACCCCGGGCATTTTGTTGGTATATGAAACATTTTTACCCATTTTCTTGCTGTTCCACTGCATAGTGTTCCAGCTCTGTACCAGGAAGGGGCTGGACTGGGGGAGGAGGTAGCGGAACATTGGCCCAGGTCGATCCGTTGTTTTTCTGTGGTTTAGAAGAATTTTTATTTTTCTTCTTTTTTCCACCTTTCCCACCTGAAAGTAATAATACATTTATTCAGACATACTGAATATCAGAAGAAACAGAATACATCAGATGGGAAGATGTATTTATGTTTTCAAAACACCCGAACCAGTATGTTACAGTTGTTAAAAGCTATAAACAATGAAATGATATAATCAGAAAAACATTTTTATAAATCACTCAAAATGATATTGTTTCTTCCACAATGCATTAACCGCAGTGCTGAATAAACCAAAAACATGGCTGCAGTAGCAAAAGCACATTTATTGATTTATTCACATTTGCTGCCTCCACGTTTTCATTGTTAGACGAAATAATGGGCCATAACCAATTCTTGCAAATGTCAGATTTTAGTGCGTTTATAATGAATGCTCTTTTGCATAATCTGTCTCAGTGGAAAATGCAGTGTCTAAGGATATAGGCTAAACTTTTCCATTAGAATTTACTCAATTTAATTAATCCAGGAGAGTAACAGTTTTCTTTCCAAAGTAACTTATAAAAATCAAGCAACTACAATCTGGAGGATACATGTTAATCTCTCACATTGATACGTTTTAAAGAATTCTTAGCCAACGAATGGCACAATTATTTTTGCATATAGTTAGAGTAGTTCCCAGATGTCTTAAGCATCACATCTCTTGAAATTCCAAATATGGCGAGAACTAATAGAAATATAGTAATAGGTTTCAGTATTATTGTAATACAAATGAATTCATGCACAAAACATGAGCAGAAAGTAACTCGGCCACACATGAACCGTATCTGGAATTATCAGAACTTAATGAAATATAAAAATAGAATTTGTCATTTGTACAATGCAGTGTTTTTCACTCTTCCAAAATTAAATACAATCAAGTTTCTACTTAAATGGACCCTGGTTGGATGCAGAAATCAGTACTTCCTGAGCAGAATGACAAAAGATGTTTCAGGGGAACCTAAGTAACTTCTGGCACCTCCATTACGGTCAATAGCTATATCTCCAAAAAAATGGTATTGACCCCTTGAACTTCACTTTTCTGGAACTAAAAGTTGTGAGCATGAAATATGTGTAGCAGGGCTATCTAACACTAGATACATCACCAGAAGTTTACTTCATCTCCTTTCTTCTACCAGTTACTAATCTGCATCAGACAATTTATGTGATTTAATAAAAACTGAGTCTCAGAGTGTGATGAAACTGTTAAACTGGACATATACACTATTACCAATAGAGAAGTTATGTTTTCTAGGTGTGCACATATACACACATTTTTAAAAAGAGCATCCTTGTAAACAAGGTGCTTTTACCATTCCTTTCACTTTTTATCTTCAGCAGCAGGAGAGGTATATTAAGAAAAAGGAGAGCAGGTATCTACTGCTTTGAAAAGAAGAGCTTGATCTCTGGGTTTGAAAACTAATTTCTTACTCAGTTAATAAATTATGCAATAGATATCACTTCAATTTCCCCACACATAAAATACATATAAAATTACTCCTTTTGGAGATTACTTTAAGGTTTGCAAGAGATAATGCATGTAAAGGGCTCAAAATGTACAGGATGCTGAATAAATGCCGGTCATTATCACCCTTTCCCATCGCCTCTATTTCGGAGCAAACTCTGTTTTACCTGGTTTCAAAGCCTTTGCCACGCCCAACTCCTCCAACACTATTGAGTGTCCCAGAAATAGCCTGATTCTTAGAATAAAAATAATCAACCTGACTGAATTTAAGTCTGTAATTTTCGTGTTCAAGGTAGGTGAGCCTTAACCCTTTATTTCCTGATAACCCACCAAAATCATAAAGTGGGATCATATCTTTCACTGTAGTATCAGAACTATATTTCAATACCTAAAAGAAGAATGAGTTGGACATATGTTCTTCATAGCTTTCCCCCTACTTGTAACTCTTTTATTCCTAATATATCTATATGTGTACAATGCTTTTTTCTTCACTTTTCATAGCACTTTTAGAAATGTTATATGATGGTCACCTGAATTGAGTGACACAAATAGGGAAGTTTTTACATCTCCATTTTATAGATGAGAAAATTAAAGTTCTTTCTGAGTTTGTGGTCCACATTCACACATTAAGAGCACAAACAATTTAGAACGCAGCAGCTTTACTGGAAATTGCAATCTCTGCAGCTCTGAATCCAGCTCTGCTGAAATCTTTGCCCAAGGTCAAGAAAGCCATTATCAATTCTTCCAAACACCTGGCTTAAAAATGTACTGTGGAAACAGCTGATTCATAGAGGGAATTTGTGAGGGCTTTCCATCCATTGTCCACTTTCCCCTCTTTGGGGAAAATTTCTGCCCTCTCATTGCGGGCACTCTTAGTAGGACTATCCCTAAACACAATTTGTCTGCTCTAGCAATGAGTTAAGGGGTGGGCTCTTAGCATGGTAGTGGCATATGACTAAGGAAATTAAATTCTCTATCTGAGATCTATATCTTGAGCTAAGTGAATGAGAATCTGTTGCTGTTACTTGCAACCAAAGATCTTTAAGCATTTTAAAGTGAGAACTGCCTGTATTATATTTTAGGAAACATATTCTTATGACTTGCAAATATATCTGACCCATCAAACTTCAACTCAAAATGTAAATATTTGGATTTATGGTTATTTATGCTGAACAAAGGACTTCCATGTAAAGGAAACTATGAAAGCAATTCATTTTTCAAATTAAACTTAAGAGTCTATTCTTTAAAGATACTGGTATATAAAAGGTTTAGCTATTACTACTGAGATTGTGTGATACACCTGTGTGTGTATGTGTATAAATATATTTTGACTGCAGATACTATTTTGAAAAACTCTGAGTTTTGTATTTTTTAACAGTTGGATTTTTTAAGAGAAGTGCTAAGAAGTTATGTATTGAATAAACCATAAAAGCATTTCAAAGAAGGTAAGAAATTTAATCAAATAACTCAAGAATGTCCAATTTTCTTTATTACTGTGATTATTTTAAATTGGTTTCATCACTCTGCACAAATTAAGAAAATCTTATAATACAATATGATTTGATATCCATAGGGTAGTTTGATCTTAAATTTGAGCTTTAGGAAATGTACCTATGATTATAAGAATAAAATGAACTCTAATATTAAAATCAATTTGACTAAACTAAAAAGGAAAAAAAAATCACTTCACTGTTACCTCCTAAAGAATGCTTTCTATTACCAATTTAAGTAATTTTGTATTCAAATGTAGATGAAGTAGTTAACATAATTCATAGATATATATAAATGTCACTCAGGAGATTAATGGATTCAAAAAGGCAGTAAGCACTACTGTGAATCGTGTTCTGCTTACAATTACTCAAAAGATAACTTTTAAAACTCAGCAGTAATCAACATGTACAGAATATTTACTGAAGAATTCACAGAAGGTCTTATATAATCCGTGACTTACAGTATATAGATTTTTTTAAAGTACATATATATTGCTTGAGACTTTACGTATCTTGAATGAAATAAGCTTAGGATAAATTATTTTTCTGATTATTCAGTACTACTGTGGGACTCATCATAAATAAATGACAGTATAAATGACATATAAGGTTATTCTGAATTCCCCTATGTTATTAAGCCAGTTTAAATTCATAACAGATGTTTAAAATTTTCTGGATTCTATAATCTAGCTAATTCTACCAATAGGTAAGAAGAACAAATGACTCATTTTGGAGGTAAGAGAGAGCATTGACATTTTCAGACTAAAAGGGTTCCATCTCTGAGGAAAAGTCATTTAGTAAATGTTACCCTAATGATGTAAAAGAATTAACTCTTTATGGCCTTGATGACTGGTAGCCTGTGACATATCGTAATACACTATAATCCTTTACTAAGAACCTGAGGTTAAAAAAATTCATAAAAACAAATGGCGTATCATTAATATGAAAAAATTAAGAAAATAAGGTTATGGCATCAATTAGGAATGTGTAGATAAAGTCATCAAAGTCATAAAAAATGTAAATGTTATGGTTGGAAGTTAGAGTGTCTACTAGAACCTCCTCAGTTTAGAGATGAAGATTCTTGGGCCTAGAGAAGAATGAATATCGCTGATATTTGTTATAATAGGTGTGTATTTCTTTCCAATAAAATGTGCTTTTCCTCACATGTACTGTGCAATACTGACTCATAGATTATTAGTTTGGCTGATGTATCTTGAATATATACTAAAATTTTATAGCATAAAAGAATTATCAACATGAATGATGGGGTATTTTTGGAAATTAAGAGTAAAGAATAACATCCTATATTAACATTCTTGTTACTCTAAATAATATCATTCAACAGATAAGAAATCCTATTATATTATATTTTGGAATGATGGTCCAAAAATAGGAAGTCACATCACTAGAATCCTAATATTATGAAAAAATCTCCAAAATCATTTGCATTTTAGTTGAATTTATCTTTTCTATCCATGCCATGAAGCTGACTTTCCTATATGAATTTTTTATTATGAAGTTCTCTTGACTTCTAAGTAGGGTTCAAGGCAGATCAAACTCAACTGCTCTTCAATAAGTAGTATTTAGTAAAATGGCACTATTTTTCAGCAAATACATCCTTGTATAATTAGGACATAAGGAGTGATGATGAACTTTATCCCCCTCCCCCAAAGTATGATTTCATTAGGATAAACCGTTACTGTCATTTGAAAGATAAATGTCTGACAGTGAGTTGTGATCCAGTATTTCTTCACAGTTGTTAGGAAGAACACAGGTCGTATGCTGGTGACAAACAAATATTTCTCCTTACTGTGACGAAACCAACCTGAGAGACTGCCACTCCTCTCTGAGCTGTTGTGAGAGCTGGTGGTGCTGAAATCCTGTGACTGGTTGTGTGGCATTCTATTAGACAATCCCTCAGCCAATCGGTAGTCAGGGATGTAAAGTAAGGCTAAGGGTTAAAGGGCAGAGGTCATAGTGGCATCATGTGATTAGTTCACAGCACAAGCCCATGCAGAACATGCAGTTAGCAACTCAGAAGCAGATGTCATAGGACAGTGGAGGAATGTTTTGTCTATCCTGCCTAATGGAAGTCGAGATGGATTACTGATCACTATTGAAGAAAGAGCTAAAAGGATGAAACCGATTGGTGTTGGTGTGTGGTGATAGCGACGGTGGTGGTGGTGGTAGGGACTGTGCAAGGTACTGAACACATGCTGGTATAGTTTTTTAGTTTAGGTAGTGAACCTGGTAATGAGTCACTAAACTGAACAACAAATACTAATTTCTATCTCATGCACAAATGATATGAAAATAACTCTTCAGGAAGTAAGGATCTGACTTACCGTTGTTACCTTTGTTCTGATCAGGCAAAGAATAACCAAATCCCATCAGATCTGTTTTTTGCTGAATCGAGCTTTTCCACTGTGGATCAGGCAGATCAACAGCCAGTTCGTGTATGCTATTGGAATGCAATATCTGTGTCGTGGCATAAGGAGTAGCCTGTGTTATTTGGCTGGAACTGTTGTAAGTGGTTTTGGTTGTGAAGTCAATGCTGCTATAAATGGCTCCGTCTGAGAGCATCGTTGCCGTTTTATCCCCTTGGCCCGGAACTGGTGGCAGCACATCTGTGGTGAACAGAGGGAAATGAAACAATTTAATGATGCACAGGAAGCACAAAACTCTCAGGATTGAAGATGAAAAATAAATGTGTCATGTCGCGCGTTTGCATTTCAGCTGAGATGGGCTTCATGAGCCAATGAAGGGAAGATGATGTACAACCATCGCCAAGCTATCAGCCTCGGTGACAGGCAGGCCTGCGGCTCGTCCTTCATGTCTCACGGCTTAAAACACCTCTTCTCCCATCTTCTTCAACCACGAATGAGATGTCTGGTATCTTTCACTACTAAAAACTGCTTTCAGTTGTTCATTCTGTTTTAGAATCTATGAAATTGTTAGCTCTTTACAGAAACAATGACAAGAATGAATCTACAAATCACGGATGAAAAAATCTTTTTCCACTTTATCCCAAGAGACGTGGAGTATACCAGCTTAATGGATGCAAACATTTGCAAAATTACACTATCCAAACTATGAGGTACTTTTTTTCTGAAGTTTCAACTTGTTGTTTACCTGAGTTAATTTCACAGCTCCAGAAATGGAGTGTAACTGATGGTAGCACTTTTTTTCCCCTTGGATAACAAAGGAAAATTTTCATGAATAAGTCATTTCCACAATACAGCAGGATTTAACTACAGAAAAAGCAATCTGAGTGATCAGTGCATTTAATTTATGCTACCAAATCTTACAAGGGGAGAATTATAGTTTCAAGTTATAATACAGCAAGAGTAAAATTAAACTTTAGGAACAACACTGAATATCAATCAGTCCATTTATCACTTTGGTGTGCTGAATTATCATTACAGGATGCTTTTAAATTCAGCACTGCCACCTCTCTCCTGAGCACTTTCCTTTTCAGAAGAAAGCTACTAGAATCTAAAAAAAAAGCATAAAAACAAAAAACAAAAAACAAACCCACTAAATAATACTATTTTTATATGTAGAGTTAAAGGTGAATCTAATTATAGAATGCTCCTTAATGATCTATGTTTTGAAAGCCACTCTTCACAGGACATGAGGTCACCAATCCACTTGATTTCTTCATTATGGAAAACAGTCAACTAGTTATCGTACAGGAATAAGAAACCAAATTATCTCAGTACCAAACTAGCTTATCCTCACAAGGAGAAAGTTGAAGTAGTCAAAATATCCTAAAATGTTTAGATTCCATGATATCCAACAAAACTTGAAATAAGGACTCATGTAAATATTAATTTTGCTTTTGCATTTTACAAAAGCTAAAAATTATCTTCTCAGCAACATTTATTGTGCAAAGGAAATGAAATAAGATGTATACAAAATCCTAACTCTCTTTGGTACATAGTAAGTGCTTAAAAAGCCTATCATACTGAGAAGAGATATAGAAGCTTGCAAAAACTTTCTTGATATTCACCTGGGAAATATTTTCATGGCTTGAAAATGAGGTGGAAATGGAAAGTTTAAAAATCTACAAATGTACTCTTTGGCTAAATTAGACTGAGACATTTTAGATGTTGATGTACCTGCTAGAAACTGAAAACAAACAAACAAAAACAAAACACTTTCTCCATCTTTGAGCATTTATTTCTTGATATAAATATAGTATGGCATGTTATTTCAATACAAGTAAAACAGGTAGCTATTCACAATAGTTTTATAATAAGATATTTACCAAATGTACAGCATTATGAATACATGCGCTTAACTCAGTTTAACTATGGAAGGCAGTACTTTTTATTAGCATGTACTTTTCAAAACATCTAGAAAAGCCAAGAAAACAAAAATAACAAAATTTTGAAAAACGTAACTTACCTCCACGCCCAAAATTCCCAATCTCATTTGGGCCACTATTGCTATTGTTCACGGGCAAGCTCGTGGCTGGCCACGAATCAGCAAGCCATGGATAACTGGGATCTCCAGCATTTAGAAGACCTGGGCGGCTACAACAGGAATGAAAAGGAAATCAGTCCAAGGAACTCAATGAGAGATCTGGACATCTGTCTCATGAACTAAACTGTACTACAGAATTTAAGATTTTAATTCACCTTTAAACTGTGTAAGTTCTCAAGAATGAAGGAACTTGAGCAGTTCACCAAGGCTATATATACAAATCAACCCTGTCAGTGGAAGCAGAAAGTCCTGTCTGGGATTCTGCTGACGTCTAAATTCAGTCAGTCGTCTTCCCTGAAACGTGGGAACTGGTACCAAGGCAGCCATCTCGATCCAAGGTCTGGTGAAAAATTGGCACCTCAAGGGAACAACTGCTCAGAGTGATTGCTCCATATCAGCCATTTCCAGGACTTTGGGCTATTGCTTCCTCAATTCCTGCAGTTCCCATATTTATCTGTCCCCTATAGGCTGTAAGCCCTGTTACGAGCCCTCATGCCTGATTTAGAGGCAAGGAACTTGAGGGAGATTAATGAACAGTACTTATACTGTTCCATCAATAGCACATTTCCAAGTTCTCTAAATTTAAAGTTTTAGGAGTATATTAAAGTTTTTTCCTAAGGTAATAGAAGATCTATTGTGATCTGATCCAGCATGTGCATACAGTCTATGAAAAAGACTCCCTTTACATCGTATTTAATAAAGAAATCCCATCTTTAATATAAAAGATGGGATTCTGATCACCTTCCAGGACATTAGCATATTTACAAAGATACAGCAACATCTATAATCATTGTACTTTTTTTTGATAGACCTTTTCTGATACAATCCCTATGAGAAACATGTGTTTCTATGGAAACTGCAATAAGAAGATCCAAATGCTTTCTTGCTACCTCAACTAGCTCTCATTACACCTAATCTCTTTTTGCTAAAATATTGATTAACTGGGAGATTGGAAGTTATTACCAGAGCCTAATTACAATCTCCATACCAGCAAAGGGAAAATAGATGAGGATATATGGGTTTGTTATCAGCTTTTATCAATTTCAATTGAGTATCCAAAGTTGTGGAATCCAGTCCTATCAATCTACAGCCTATTCATCATCCATGAATCATTTACTTTGAGATCGATTATGTGTAATTGTTCACTCACAGCAATTTAGTGAGAGCCAATAAGGAGTCTTAAACAACAGCAACTTCATTTGCTAATGTCTAATTAATGCAATAAACATCTTGCTAACAAATGAACACATTCCTTGTGATATTTACTACTTATTTCTTCTGGGGCATCTGGGAGATATGAAACATCTGGACTTGATTCCTCTAAAGTGTACAACAGATAGATCATTAAACCTTGTGGTAAGCCATTTAATTCCTCCTAGATTTCTCAGACTTATAAGTGATTGTTTATTACAATAATAGCCTCTTCTTATAGAGTTTTCTCAGTTCTGACTAAAAATAATAATAAAAAAATCTCCTTAGTATACCTTCCATTGCTCATTAGTCCTCCATCTCCTCTTTGAAATGTAACTGTTAAGAAAAAAAAAAGACACACACAAGTAGTCAATATTAATTACAATTTATAACAACTACATTTTGGCCCTTAGTTTAGAGCTAAAGCCTCTGGGAATTTTAACAAAATATAATTAACATAATTGTACAGAGAGTAAGAAGCAGTGGATTGGCCTAGGGCAAAGCCACCATGTGCTCCAACTTTAATAAGACATTTAAAAATTCTTCAAGCCAAACATATGGTTAAGTCAAAGGGGCAATTCTTATTTGAGTTTCAACTGCTACATACTGGAAGACCGACATGCATTAATGAGGAATTATCAAATCATGACTTTTAATGTTATTATATAGGTGTCCTAATTAGAGGGTGTAACACAAAACGCACAAAATAGAAACTGAAATAGGGTAGTTCAAACAGGTTATATCATCCTTCCAATGAAACAACTGAAATGGGTTCTAATTGACAACATATTCATCTCCATCACAGGTCCTTTTAGGGACACTAATAAGCACTACAAGTTGAAATACTACAATTACAATAGAGACGAACTGTAATTAATAGAGAATACGTAATGTATTCAGTGCTTTGTTTCATCATCCAACCCTCACAAGAATGATACTTTCAAATATAGTTGATACTGAATATATTCATAGTGTATGTTATGACTACAAAACTTAAGTCCTTCATAAAACTGTGGAACTTATTAGCAACAGCACCAAGGAAAGCCAGAGCTGGAGAACCCCCTCCGTCTGGTCACTAGATTCCAGTGTACAGAGCCAACAGCACGGCAGTGGGTTTCAAGGATTGGTCAAAGAAAGTAAACATCAGTCAGGGTTCATTAACCCTTATCCAGATTTATTTGGAATTCAGAAAGGTTCGGATCTGAGATAGGTAATATGATGCATACTGCAGAGAGGGTCTGAGGTAGAACTGTATTCAAAATTATTATTTCTGGAGTGAGATGTGAATATTCATGATTAGTGGGACAAAGTCTATAAATAACTTCACATTATTTTGGGTCAAATTTTGCCAGTAAATTATTTCACTAGAGAATCATGGGGAAAAAATTTGGTGTTTAGAAGCTGATGGATTGCAGAACTGTGATTCTGACCAAAATTAATATGGATCAGCTAAACCAATCCCTGGGAATGAAAGAAAAAGTACTATTTCACAGCTGTGAATCCAACATATCCTATCTTTGGAAGATACTGATTATATTTACTATGATTACTTAGTAAAAAGTAAAAATAAAACAAAGGTTTATGAATTGATTCATATTTTTAATGAACTGAGGTCATACTGTTACTAAAAGTATACAGAGTACTTTTTAAATTGGATGAAATTTAAATTTCTAAATGCAGTTCCTCAGTCCCTTCCCTAAGGTCATCTAAGGACATCTCTCTTATGACACTGTAATTACACAATATGATCATAATTCAAGTGTCTATTAGGAATTCATGAGGCAGTGCTTTCAGAAACATCTTGCTGGCACCTAAAGTACACTGCCTTATCAATTTTTTAGGTAATTTCTCAAGTGAATTATAAAACAATGCTGCCATAACCTTCACACCTACCCAGGACTGGTTATGGGCGGCTCTTTGGAGAAATCAAAAGAGTAATGATCACTAACCTGCTTCCTGACCAACTCACTGAAGTGCTGGGAATCAAGAATCAGCAGTGAGTCCACACCACCTTGGGTCCCTTTAATAACTCCTTTTGACAATAATAACAATAACAAATTGATCTGAAACAATTATTTTAAAAAAACTGAGCACTGGTGGTATTAAATAGAGGTCTGATTTGGAGGAACAAAAAATACAAAAATGTGAAAATAGTATAGCTAATCAACTTTCCATCTTACGTGACTTTCTAGTTATGTGGGTTTTTTTTTAATGGACTATCACGTGATTGTTTTAGTCTGCTAAAAGAGAGCTAAGATAATGTGAGTATCACTGCAAATATGCAAATAAGCAGGCACTGATTGACTACACCTCCAAATGTGCGGTTTAGGAGATAAGTGGGCAGCAGCTAAGCATTTCTCCCTGTATCAGATGCTCTTTTTGCCTCATCAAATTTTCTGTTACTGTCAAAGCAATAAATAATTTTAGAGAAAAAGAGGACAACTGAAGCACAGACACAGAAATTAAGTTGCATTTAGCTTTTCTGTACTGACCAACTGTAAATTTTTCATAAACTGTAAATTTTAAAGTATTACGATGCAACACTCAAAATCTTACCCAAAAGGTATCATTCAGATGGCTAATAAGAATGTTTAAAGGTGCTTAACATCAGTAATCTTTAGGGAAATGCAAATCAAAACTACAGTGAGATGCCACCTCACAATTCTGAGGTTGGCTACTTACAATAAAAGAAACATAAAATAAGTATTAGTGAGAATGTGGAGAAATTGAAATTCTTGTGCACTGTTGGTGGAATGTAAAATAGTGCAGCCATAGTGGAAAACAGTATGTTGGCTCTCAAAAAATTAAAAATAGAATTGCCATAAGATCCAGTAACACTACTTTTGGGTATATACCCAAAGGAATTGAAAGCAGGATCTTGAAGAGATATCTGTACACCAACGTTCATAGTAACATTGTTCATAGTAGCTAAAATGTAGAAGCAAACCAGGCATCCATTGATGGATGAATAGATAAGCAAAGTGTAGAATACAGATAACAGTGGAATATTATTCAGCTTTAAAAAGGTAAGGGAATCTGACATATGCTAAAACTTGGATGTACCTTGAGCACATTATGCTAAATGAAATAAGCAAGTCACAAAAAGAATATTGCATGAGTTCACTTATATGAAGCACTCAGAGTAGTCAAAATCATAGAGACAGAAAGTAGACTGCAGGTTGTGAGGGGCTGGGAGAAGTGGGGAGTGGGGAATTACTGTTTACTGGGTTCAGTTTTTGAAGATGAAAACATTTATGGAGATGGGTGGTGGTGATGTTTGCACAACATTATGAATGTATTCAAGGCCACTGAACTTGGACACTTAAAAATGGTCAAGATAGCAAATTTTATGTAATGTTAACAACTTGGAAAAAAAATCATTCATCAAGGTTAATTTGCAGATGTGTGAAGAGTATATACTCTGACATGGTCCATATTTACCAATTGAGAATTAAACATTGTGAATAAAAGAATTTTACATTTTAAAACATTTAAGAAGTATCTATTTGTATTCCAAATCATAAAAATATTTTCAAATGGTTCTAGAGTGCTAACAGATTGTCAAAATGTTACAAAAAAGGTATTTATCTTTGTATCTCTGCATATCAATCATACAAAGGCAAAAATATGGAGTTGTTATGTAAGTACATAATTGACTTAAAATGGCCCATAGACACACTTTGATATATATGGTAATTTTCAATTGTGTATGTTTCTATCAGGAGGAAAAAAATAAAAACAGCAAAAAGCCCAATACTCTTACATAATAAGGTTGATTAGTTGTCTTTTAAAGCAAGAGGAAAAAAAGAGGACTCTTTTTCAAGTTTCCTTTTCTCCTCATGCTCCAAAACTTACAGATTTATTCCATTCTGAAAAGTACAACAAAAATAACTGAGTCGTATTAGGCTATGAGATTAAAAGCAGACTAGAAATAAGGATAAGCAATACGAATGCCTAAAATAGATGTCACATTTGGTGTTTTGATCAGCATTTTTGTGTGTGTGAACAGAGAGTGAAAAACATAAAAATAAATGCCCCAGCAACTTGGAAGCTGTTTTAAGGTAGCTCTCATTTGAGATGCTGAACTACCTTAAAGCTGAAAGCAAGAGGATGGGAGGGAGGTGGTTGGACAATCTTGCTCTGGTCACAGTTTTGATAATCATAATGTAGTAAACTTTGTGCTTAGCAGAATGAAATTTGAAAAAAATGGGAATCTCTACCAGGGGTTTCTGCTAGCATCTAAAATTAAGAACCAAAGTTTCCAAAAAGCTCTACAGACACCACCATCTTAAATGTTTTAGAACTGCATTAAATATTTTGAATTTATTGCAATATTTATGAAAAACGTAAGGTAAAGAGATTTTGCAAGTTCATATCGTACACAAAGTACCTCTAATATTATCTGACAGGATTAATCCTAATCTCATGCCTGCTAGAATTGAGGGGGAAGAGAAACATAACTATGTGGTAAATTGACATTTTGAGGTAAAGAAGCTTTCAGAGTGCCTATCTCTAGTAAGCCACATTTTCCTACTCCAAATGGAAACTTTAATGTTGCCAGCCAAGCCTCATTCCCTTTCCTGATAAGCTATTTCTCAAATATGAATGTAGATTAATCCTCTTTTAATAAGCATTAACTCAAGCCTAGATAATCAGAGTATAAAAATTCCATCAAGTCTTTTAGCTGTCTTAGGGTAGTTTTGTCAAATAATTTCACCAATGGTTTAAAACGTATGCAATGAAGTGTTTGGTACCTCATAATTTGCTCACTCGTTAAATTATTTATATTTACTGAGTTGAATGAAATCTGTTATCCTCAGAAGCAATATTCATAAAATAGAAGTCATCCCTTTAAAAGTGAAAATATGTTTACTTTCATTAAAAAGATGATGACTTAAAAAAATTACGAATAGAAATACGAACAGCATGAGTTTGAAGAGTCATGTGGCCTTCGAGAAGATTATAATACAACATACAGACTCCTCATGAAAGCTGCATGGCTTTTATTCAAACATGTTGTTCATTCTTCTATTCACAAACACTGTTATACATATGATGAAACATTCACTCTCCATTCAAAAATCACCAAGTATTTCCTGTATCTTCTGCCCAAATGCCTTTGCAATTCTGTTTCACCCTGTAACAACTCAGGTAGGGAATTCTGGCCGTCAGGAACCCCGGACAGTGACAAACAGACTGTTAGTGCTCAGTGAAGATTAAAATAAATAACATTGCATGTTGCTCTGGAAAAGGATAAAATGATTTCACGTAGAATATGAGCTATAAGGATACCTTTCTCGTCCCAGCTGCCCTTCTCTGAGCCACGTGCAAACTTGTGGTGCGTGTTTGTGTCTGAAGAATTTAAATAAAGAAGAAATAGAAAAAAAGTGAATAGGAAGTTAGTGTATAACTTTGCCTTAGGGAAATCTCCATTTTCTGCTGTGTAAAGAAGCAAAACACATTCAGGCCAAATTCTCCTCTCAGATCATTTAAGTGTGTAAGTTTACATTTGATTCTTGATAGCTGCTTTTACAATCTGAGGTGTTAATCCACTAGTGTTCTATGATAAATATGTTAAATCCTCTGACACATTAAAAAAATACCAGCACCGAGAAGCATTTTTTTTTAACCTTTCTTCTGAGCAGTCAAATATAATTTTCCACGTTACGGGGACCAGCCACAGTAAAAGTCAGTATGTAATTTTTTGCCTAAATAGAGTGAATGAAAGGCATCCTGCCAGGAGTTGGAGTCTGTACCCTGCAAGGTATTTCTACATCTCCCCACTAGTTAAAATCTTCCCTTTGGTGGTTAAAATCTACCTATGGTGGTTAAGAAGACTTGGAATGAAGTAGGAAAAGAAATCGACGACATGAAATTTTGCCTGCTTGACGATTCTATTTCGGATCAGTCTAGCATTAATACAATGTATGTTTCTTCATACATATAAAACGCATCAGATGTTTAAGTATAATCAAAGCTCACATTTGGGGTTTGACATAAATGAAGGCATCTTTTGGTATAAATTAATTTAAATACTGATCCCAAAGTAGACTTTTGTTTATTTGAAAAAAAAACGATTATTGCTATCATAGATCAATAATAAAATTTTGAGATTATATAGATATTACCATCTAGTAAAAAGTGGAAATATTAGACTTTTCATTTTTGTGAGTAAAATCACATTGCTTTAATTTTACTGAGTTCAGTTTTTGGTTACTTGCTAAAGTATAAAATTCTCAGAGAAGTTTTTATGGAAACTAAAATATAAACAGAACCAGTACACATAGAATATTTTCTCTAAAATTTTCATGAAACAATTCCGGGAAAATAGTCCTGTACAGAATCTCTGTGCTCTCAAAATGGACCATTAGCTCATGCATGAAATGTCAGAAATTTAAACATATGGCCAATACATACTACACTAATCATTCCTATTTAAAATGCTCATATTCTCTAAGTTGTATAAAGACAAGAATATAAAAATTTTAAAAGGTGGAGAGTGGATTTCTATGAAGTGAAATATGTAGACAATATCACCAAGTCAAATATACAATGGTAAGTCCTGGTGGTTTGGATTTTCAGTTGCTTCTCACATAGAGTTGAACAGCAGTTGCTGGAAGGCAAATTACTAGCTGAAGGTGAAGCCATTCTGAGAGTCAGCCATCTATCAATTAAGTATAAAGGTTTAGAAAGGCTGCTCTCTGGCTTGGCCTTATTCCAAAATATTTGAAGGGCACAGCACTTCTGAGTTAGCAGTTCTTCTACAAGCAGATGGGTATCAATCACAATGAGAAATGATCATAGGAAATGTATTATTCTTGTCAAGCTCAAAGACCTACAGCTATTTTCAAATTAAATCACAGGTTTTGTAAAGAACTGCTGTTTTAAAATAAAAAAGAAGAAAAAGAAGGCTGTCTGATATAATTTTTACTAAAAACACAAGCCAACTAATTACAAGAGCTATGCTAATTCGAAGGAGTAGTGAATGGAGAGGTATGGAGGGTAAAAGTACACCACTACAAATGTGGTATCTTAGAACTTTGCACTGACTGAAGTGACTAGCATGGTCAGCTTTTCATTATTTTCACTAAAGTCAAGCAAAGAGATTAACACAAAATAGTCCTTGAATTAAATCAGGTCTCTTATTTTTTATATGATTTACATGAGTGTGTCACAGAGATGAAATGGAACGTAGTGATTGACTACACAGGTTGATGGACTATACCTTTAGGGGGATGAAAGTAGAGGACAGGACTGCTAAACAAGAGGTTAGGTTAAAGCATCATTAACTTGCAAGACTCTGACACTCGGCAGTTACTGCCCAGCAACACGTTCCAGGAAGAATCCCTCATTGGTAGGTGACACAGCACCCAGATGACAAAGTGTAAGGGAGCAGGCGTCAGTAGCCAATGAGAAATGAGAATGGCAGAGCAATAGCAAGTCACAAAGCATGGAAGCCCCTTTTCAATGGAAACACTACATTGCTTTCTCCAGTCCTGGGAATTTATTCTAACCAGTAACTAATAAACTGTATTTTCACAAGACAGAGACAGGAGCCACAATGTGATAGTCAAATGATCATATTTAAATACTGTCAAATAACAAGCAAGACAACCAAGTGGGTGTTAATTCCTTTCATTTTACACTATTTAGACATTCTTAGAAGCTTACAAGCCTAAAAGCTACATCAGCCGATAAGCTTAATAAGCAATGAAGCCTCTGTCAAAAAATCACTTAAGACATTTATACTTCTTACAAAGTTAAAATTAGAAACAGATGACTGAATAAAATGTCTCAAAAACTGTAAAATATTTGTAGGACAATGGTAAGTTAAAATTGTTCCCTTGCAGATTCTAGAAAATGTGAAATATTGTGAGACAATTTCTTTGTATGATCATTGTTATTAGAGAAAATTCTTAAAATGCATTGCAATTTAAACTGTAATTGAGCACAGCTTCAGTTTTGAGTTCATTTTTCAATCACTGATTTGACAATTTTCTCTCTTTCTCTATACCTGGGAAGTACTTGAAAGCCACAATTTTGGACATCCTTCAAGTTCTTATTATGGGTTCTAAGAAGAAAACATTTTTGCAAACAAGTAAAACATGTAGTAGCTTCTTTTTCTGCTTCTTTTGCTTCTCCTTTTCCTTCTAAAACACTGATCGGTTACTTTGAAATAGACATCCTAGTTAAGTGACTAGCAAATTCATGCCTTGTCAGTCTCATTAATTCTGGTGAGTTTTTTTTTTTGTTTGCTTATTGGTATATTTTCCATCTGAGACACATTTCCTACTGTAAGTAATTTGTATCATAAATTATTAGAATAAAACCCTAAATATCAAATCTTTTCTTTTTTTCAGAGCATTTTAGGAATGCTCTTGCTTAAATCCACTTTTCACACATTGGTTTCCTAGCATGCAAAGTGTGTGAGTGTGTGTGTGTATGTGTGTGTGTTGAGGAAACAGTTGGGAAAAATGGCTAAGCACTTTATCAGCATGCACTCTTCTTATACTTCATTGGAGATATAAGCAAAAAGATTGGCTTATGGTCATAATGTGATACAGCAAAGAGCAATGCATTAAAGCATATTGTTTATAATTGTTTAAATCAAGCCCCAAACATCCATTCATTCACTCATTCATCATTCCATTCCATTCCTTCCCTTGTATTATGTATATTCCTAAAGATAAGACATTTCTTTAGCTGAAAATAGCCTCTCACCAGCATAATTACTGAGTCCCTTTCTCTTCTTTCTCCGCCAGTACAACCAGATGCTAAAACCCATCAGAATTACCCAGCAGGCACCACCAATGCCAGCTATAAAGGCTGGTTGCTTCACAACATCAGTGATTTGCTCAGTTATGCTGTTATTGTTTTCAGTGATGACAACCTCATTTCGTCCCCCTGTGGAAGAAACAATAGTGTTAGTAAATATTAAGGCAAAAATAAACACAAAAATACATACCCCATGTGCCAAAGGCAGAGAACATTAGAGAGTTTCTTGAAGTAGGTAATCTTCGTTCTGTCCTGATCTTGTCACAATTTATTGATAAGCATATTTTATAAGTTTCAAAAGAATAATCAAATTATGAGTTTGAAGTGTGATTCAGAACGTTGCTCCTGTGTGTTTTGTTTTGCTGTGGACAGATTCAGAATCACTTCTTGATTTACCACCTCACAAATCAGTACTAAAACAAGGGCTGTGAGCTGAAATAACAGTAACTCTTCTTTAGCTATGTCAAACATTTTGTAATATAATTCTCATGAAGGAAAAGCATCTACAACATATAACACAAGGTATTTGCAAATTACCTTTCCCTTTAGCACTGCCTGAATGCAAATGTTAATGATCCACAAAAATATTGCCCTTAATATTCTACCAGAGAATTTATTTTGATCAAACATTCTTTAATTTTCTGGATGGTATTAAAATACTATATAAAACTATAATAATTATGTAAACATCTTTTTATAGATATTAATATCTATAGTTCAAATGTCACCAAAAGATAAAACTCGTATATATCCTTAAAGAATTCGAAACTAATTTGAAAACCCAAGTGGATGTTGGATCCAAACAAGTTAAAATTAGTTCTAAGGTCTATATAACAAAAACATACATTTAAATGTGGAGTAAGATTAGTCTAGAAGTAGTCATGTTTTTGACAATTTAGACTTAAGAGACAATAAAGAAAGTCTCAATCCACATTTTTTAACAGGTTTAAAACTCATGGAATCATACCATTGAAGAGCAAGGATTTAGATGTTTATTTAACAGATTAATAAATTCACACACGGAGAATTAAGTGATTTCTTACATCAACATCATGATGAGTTAGTGGCTAGTCCAAGACTTAAAAAATAAATTGTAAGCAAAATATAAATGGCAAATTTTAGCATATCACATCAAAGGAATGTGTGACTTTCATTGTATTAGTTATGGTACTGTAATAGATTAGAAAGAGCAAGGCTTTGAAGTTCCACATTTGCATATCATCTCTGCCACTTACTAGCTAAGTAAGCAGTGAGCTTATGTAGGACACTTAATCTTTTTAAATCCCTGTTTCTGTTAGTTGGCAACAGTACTATTTCATACATTTGGGAAGGTTAATTGAGATGATGTATGTAAAGCAGTTAATAGGAAACCAGGAATTTGTGACTCAAAAGTATGGCCCACTTAAGGCTAGGAGTTACTTTAAGAGCCACTCAGTAATTCCAGGAATATAAGTTATAAATTACCTAGATAAGTGAGTCCTACAAACAACAGGTGTCTTGTTTACCATGGTTTCTCCATTTTCCAAGGCAGAAAGTTAGCCTATATTTCCTAGCCTCCCTTGTAGCTGAGTGCAACAAAGTGACTGGATATTGGCCAAGGGTGGGCAGGCAGATGCATACTACCTCCGGACCTGACCCATACGCCGCCGTGACAGGACATCACACTCTCTCTTTCCTAAATGTTGGGTAGAAACTAGGTATCTGTTGGAGAATGCTGATCCACTAAGAGATGGTAGATCTATTGACTGGAAGGATCCAACTTCCCTAAAAACTTTATGGAGTAGAAACCCTGGCCTCCATTTCTGCTGACCCATTTTAGACTGAGCTATGAACAAAAAGGAAACATTTAAGCCAATCAGAATGCCCACTTGTTTGTTACAGCTGCTGGTATTTTTTATACATATTAATATTCCTTTCCTGAAATGTCTTCCGTGTTAAATATCAGATTTAAAAACTACCATCACCTGTGTAGTAAACCTGATTCGTTTTCCTAACCTATCTGTTCTTATTATACATATAAACATACTATTATTATTACACATATGAACAAAGTCAAAAACGTATTTACAATGAACTCATATTTTCAATATGAGACATACACATATCTGGTGACTGTCCTAAATACTAGTAGTTACTAAAAAGAAAACACCTTATAGCACAAAGAAAAGGAAATCTGTCTGTGCAAAAGGTGTATAAAATTCATATTTAACATAGTGGAATATTTATGAAACCCAAGATGTATTACTATTTCTTATGCTGCTAGTATTTTTAAAACAATGTTGTCATTTGGACTAATTAAAGCACAGACAAGGGATGTGTGTGACCTGTAACGCACCACTGTTCTTACAGACAAAAAAACATAATGAAATATAATGTCTTCCTCCCATTGGAGAGTAACGAAGAACAAAACTAATTTGTTGGAATAAAAATTAATTAGACACATCAGATTCGATTGTACCTATTACTGTGAAAGTTTGCAGCTGTTTCACATATTACCAACTATGTAAGGTAAGTGTGAACTGGCCACATGATTAAAGAAACAATAGGTATGTTATTAAGCAAAGTTACTGAGAATTTTAAGTCAACGTATGTTTGTTGTATGACTTGCTGTTTGATGCTTACATACGTAAATGTATTTGGTTGCATTTATGCATGTGTGTAATTGCAGCAATAAAGAATTACGGACATTTTGATGGAAAAGTTACCTTATCAGTGGAAACTGCAGACAAAAGAATACTACTACTTTTAAGCCTGTGTAAGGCTGTTTATGATGTTTATACAATATTTTAATGAATGGTCCCTTAATGTAACTTTCTGGAATAAAAACTAAACTGAGAAGGAATAGATGAAACAGTACATGGTCTGGCATAAGACAAATCTAAAATTATCAGCCATAAATTACATCAAATGCCAATACATGATTTAATTAAAGCAAAAGGAAATGAGGGAGAGCTTGAGTCACTTCAAGTGCTGTTTCCAGGACTGAACAGACAACAGGGAAAGAATAAAGTGAAAGAGAAGAGGAGATCAGCAATCACTAAATCAATTTTCAACTAGGAAAAACAGTTGTGTAGTAAGGTTATCAGACAAGATGTTAAGGTAGATATGCAGGCGTAATTAAAGAAACAATTAAAGGCTTCTTCAGTACAGCAGTAGACATTAAAAAGAAATAAATCTCTCGAGGACAAACAGACTTTTCCAGGATGAACTGTGCTTATGTGTACGTGTGTGTTTATTTCAAGTGGTACCGTTCGACTTGTTTTTGATTATGTCTTGGACATTGTGTATTTGAATGACATGAATAGGAGATAGAAATATTACTTATTGGATTATTTTTTATTTCATAGAAAAATCTGAAAAGTTGTATGATATATAAACAAATTAAAAGGCATTCATATCCATGTCAACACTTAGTCTTTTTAAAATGATACAAGAGGTAAGCAAAACTTTCCATTTGATTTAAAATAGTCTAAGTTAAATTTTTAATTATTTTAAGTTACCATATGACTGCTCATTTCTTAACTGTCATGTTATGAGCTTAGGGAAATGGTATTCTTGCAATTTTTTTACTTGCCTCCAAATGCAATCAATCCCCCAAATATTGTGAGGTGGTCACTACCAATCAAAACCAATACTACAACTGAAACCAAAACAAACCAAGTTTCCCATGTTTGAGAGTTGTATTTATTGCCTAAGATAATAGAAATGAAAAAGGAAACATGAAAGGGAAGTATAAATATTTGGTAATCTTACTGATCTTTGATTTAGAAAAATTATATTCAGTCAATCTATTTCATACATACGCTAGAGAGACAGTGGGGGAAAAAGCTGTATTTACCTTTCTAGGAGTTCTCATAGAAAACTATACCTTTTAAACATTTTTCATTTATAGGTTTTTTTAAGTGAAAAATTAATGGCTTATTTCTAAATAGCATAAATGTTCTAAATATTATTTAGAAAATATATAGAAATAAGAATAAGTATATATATATATACACACACACATATATATACACTCATTCTTATGCTATAATATATATGAGATATATATATCAGTTAAATCCTTTTGGGTGTACTTGTATTTCTTTCTTATTCTAATTTATTTTAGAAAATCTCAGAAGGGCAAGATTGTAGGTTTCCCTCAGGTTAAAAATTAATTCAGTCTGTATGACTAATTAAGAAAGGGAAGGCAATTTAAAGAAAAGTTAATACTATAACTTTTTTAATGCTTTTAATATGTAAAACAAAGAATACTTGGAGAGTCCAAATATTGTTAACATTAAGACTGAGTGTTAACTCATTTCAAATACAGTAAATAATTTGCAGTAAGAGACAATTTCCCAGAAATTGGCAGTAGGCTCTGTGTGCATCATTTCAGAAAATAAACAGAAAAGAATGGGAATGGCACATTTGCTTGTATCAAACTCTGGACACGAATTTTTAGAATATGTAAACTCTAGGAAGAATATTTAAAAAAATAAAGACACTGACAAACAAATAAAAGCAGGCAGAACTAAAGGGATTTGCCTCTTGAAGAACAAAACCACACAAGAAAGGAAATCTGCATTTATGAGGCTTTCTCTCCCCTTAGAGAGCTCACTCCATGTAGTGCTAGGGACCTAGAACCCAAGAGAACATTTCAATCTCATTGATAGGAGATGTCAGAGGATAGCGTTCAGAGCTGCCAGGGTGACTAAAAATTAAAGGAGAAACTTGCGAAACTGGGAGCTACCAGAGAGTGATGCTCTCAAATCTGTGTATAAATTCTTCCTCAATCCTAGGGTTAACCCTGAAACGTGAAAGCAGAAAGAAGATTTCAAGGATCTGGTAAAAATCAAAAGGTAAAAGGCTGAAAGAGCTGAACAGATTTTTCAGCTGATGTCTACTGCAGAGAAGTCTGTGTCCGAAGTTTAAATTCCATGACTAGATAAACATATTAAGCTTTTCACTGAAAGTTCAGGAGTGTCATGTCTTAGGAGTAAAGATCAAATGAGGTTTTATCTTAAGAATAAGGTCGAAACATAAACAGTCCTCAAGAACAAAAACCAACACTTTTTGGAAGATCACAAATTTGTATAGTAAGTCATGTACAACGTCCAGTATATGGTACAAAATTACCAGGCATGCAAAAACAAGCAGAACAATAACCATGACAACAAGAACAATGAGGAAGAAATGACCCAAGATCAAGAGGAAAAGTAATCAATAGAAATAGACCATGAGATGACACAGATGTTGTAATTAGGAGAAAAAGACTTTAAAGCAGCTATTATGATATGTTCATGAACTTAAATTAATAGAGTCATAGTGAATGAACAAAAGGAAAATTCCAGAGGGAAATGGAAAATGTAAAAGAAAATAAATGGGAATTCTAGAACAGAAGAGGTATTATATGGACTGGGTAATTCACGGGATACTTCCACTTCTGCCTATGAAGAAATAACAGGAAGGAGACATGTGATCCCATCATAAACAAGCAAAAAACTAGGCAAAATATGTGAAACAAAGCAGGACTATGAGAAAAGGAAACGAACAAGGGGAATCTTATTATATTCAAAGTTTTAAATCTGGAGACAATTTGTAAAATGTGATGCACTGAAAGGGAATCCAAACATGGCTGAACAGCATTCCTGAGTTAAAGAGATAGAGGAACTCAGGGATACTGAAGGGGTTGGATGAAACAAAATATCAGATAAAGATGAGTTACATAAAATATTTTTTCTTAGTTTTAATTTATCTGAAAGATATCTGATTGTTTAAAGTAATACTTTAATGTCTGCATATTGGGTTTTTACTGAAACCCAACTCTATTTATGAGTATAAATAAAAAGTATAACAATAGCAAAAAGATTGAATGGAAGGCAAATGAAACTATCTATTCTAAGATTCTTTTTTTACAGGCTAATCCTAGAGTAATCATTACAAAAAAGAAGTATACTTAATAATACGATAGTGAACATAAAAATACAATACAGAACACTATTTAATTCATCCAAAGGAAGTCAGGAAATTAGGAAAGTAGGAATATAAGCAGGTAAAAAAATACACAGAAGAAAAGGTAATTCTAAGCCCATCAATAATCACATTAAAAATAATAAACACTTCAATTAAAAGACAAAGACTGTCACAATTCAAACATAATTTTGTAGAAACTGACAAGCTGATTTGAAAAGTACACGGAAAAGCAAAAGGTCTGGAATAGTCAAAACAATTTTGCAGAAGAAAATGATGAAGTACTCAACATTACCTGTTTTCAAGACTTTTTATAAGTTATAGTAATCAAGACAGTCTGGTTTGGCATATGGATAGACAAGTAACTAGTGGAACAACATAAGGAACTGAGGAATGGATCCACACATATATAGTTTATTGGGGAAAGGAACATTTTTTTTCAATGAATGATGCCTATGCATTTTGACATACATGTGGAAATAAGTAAGCCTCAACCCTCAAACCACATGCAATTACTTTGAGATAAATTATAGACCTAACCATAAAACCTAGAATTATGAAGCTTCTGGAAGAAAATATCTTTGCTATCCAGAAGTGGTAGGACAGTTTCTTAGAAAGTACTAAACATGAAAGAAAAATTTGACAAATTGTAGATCACTTAAATTTAAAACTTCTGTTCACCAAAAGACACTATTAAGAAAATGAATAGGAAAGATAGAGATTAGAAAAAAATATTTGCAATACAATGTATGACAGAGAATTTACATCAAAAATGTACAAATGACTCCTCTTAATCAGTAACAAGAGACAAAGATACCATTTTGAAAAAAGCAAAGACTTGGAAATTCACAAAAGAAAGTATGTGAATGGTCAATAAGCACATGCAAAGTTGCTCAGTATCATTAGTTAGCAAAGAAAAATTGAAGTTAAAGCAATAATGAGGTATTCTTACACTCACTGGAATGGCTAAAATTACAGATAGCAACATCAAATGTTACAGTGTAGAAAAATTGCAAGTCATATTCTTTCCTAGTGAAAATATAAAATTATACAATTTGAAAAAAATTGCATTGCTTATAAAGTCAAACTACATTAGCGCTATTACTCAGAAATTCCACTTCTAGGTATTTCTTCAAAAGAAATAAAAACATATGTCCTCAAAAAAAAATTCTCTCAAGGAAAAAGCAGAGACAAAAATATGATACATTCACACAAATGAATACTGTTCAGAAATAAAACATACAAATTGCATAATACATATATGGGTGAATCTCAAAAACATTATGTCTAGTGAAAGAAGCCAGACACAAAATACTAATATTCTACATGATTCCATATATATTTTTTTTCACGAAGTGTCAAACATAATTAACAGTGATAGGAAATAATTTTCTGTAACGATGATAGTAGATTTAACAGAGATTTCTTCTTTGGGATAGTGTATTTGGATTACAAAGTTTCTTTTGGCCTGTTTCTGGTTAATTTTTGACATTTTCCTGGCTAAGAGGAAGCATATAGATTTGAAACATCATGTGCTTTCTTTAGTAACTGCCTCATTTCCTATTATATTTCAATGGCATCAAAATTACATGAAACTATTGATTAAAAATAATTTTCAAACCAACTTTCAGCATTTAAATTCTTAATGACTACTATGACTTTAAGAAGTTGGTGGAAATTTTAAGACCACGAGCAATTGCTAAACATTTTTTGTTAGAAACTCTAGTTAGCCTATTTGCCTATGTGATATATACATCTTAGCACTCATTCCCACCTATCCACTGTTGGGATGCAGATTCAGAAAAACAATCTACCTCGTTACCAGTTGACTGACTCTAAAGCATAGACCATAGAGATTGGTACTCACCAATTATTATCGGCTGGGGCTCACTCTTTACGCCAACTCCTGCACTGGTACTAGCTGCAACCTCTACCCGGTACTGAATACCCGGGAATAATCCACCAATTATTACGGATCGAATGGCTGCATCTACAGTTTTGTTGATGTGGAATCGCGTTTCATTCCCCAGACACCAGATCTATACAAACGTAAAATGAGTAACAAAAGAATATAAAATTATCCTTTCTGGTAATTAGGTCATTATAATTGATTAAATTTTTTAGTAGTGAACAATCTATTTTCTAGGCTTATTGAAGTATTTGTAAATGACACTTTCTAAGACTTAATTTCTACCATTTATATATAATATAATGTATAGATATAGATATGTGTGTGTATTTGTGTATTAAAGGAAGAACAATAAGAAGCTAAAACTATGCAGTGTTCCTTTATATTTTACAATCAACACTAAATATTCATAGTACAATGATTCCCTTAACATCTCTGCTAAGTCTGGAAAGTGGTCCTTGGTTGCACACAGCATTCAGGTATAGATTAAAATACATAAAATTCCACTGCTTAATTTACTTATCAAGATTTATTATGCATATAATCTATTAAAAATATGGTGATTATGAACTTAGTATCCAAAGTATATAGATGCACATCTAAGTAATTTATATTTCATTTAGGAACATATTAACTTACATATAAGTAGTTAACAAGATTAATTGACTTAAGTTACAGGTATTGACTAAGACGAAATTAAAGGCAATATTTACATTGACAGTAATAAATCTTAATATTGATCAAAACATATCTATACACATACACATGCATGAGAACAAAGTGGTGAGAAGTCTTTAAACACTAATGTGAGGAATGCTAGGCTTTTACTTCAAATAAGACTCATATTTTAAGTTATACTTTCTTCTGGGATATGGAAATCTCTTGCTGTAAAATGTGTTATAAAAATTCTACTGTGTATACTTGTATAGTATTATACCGTATTTGCAGTCTACATGGGGACACATAAGTAGGAACACACAAGATTTGTTTCTGAAACAGGTTAAGTTCCTAAAATTTTTTCTTGAAAATAACAGTTTTGAATTGTAGATTTCTTTTATTTAGTTTATGAAGCTTAAGTTTCTAATGAAGGAATATTTAGCCCTCACAAAATATACACATTTTTAATAAGTGTATAAATCTCGTATGACTAAGAAATTTACAACTTACAAAAAAATTACCATGTTGTAAAAAGATCAGTATTTAAATAAATGGAAGTTCAGGGTATGTAATCCTAAATGACACAAAAGTAAAATCCTAACCTCATTAAAACACACACACCCCAGGGTAGATAACTTTTTTGCTTTTAGAACAACGTATCCTAACACTTATAAAATTTCAGAACATGTATAATTATGCTATTATAAATGCACTTATTCTAATTTTCTTATTCACATTTCCTTATAATGTGATGGGGATAATTTTTTAAAATGCTCTTGCAAATTTAGTCTATTTGCTTCAGTAACTTAGCTATTCACTTAAGAAAATTCTATTTTAAATGAATCTTTATTTTTCTTAGAAATTACAATGTTTTGAGTGAAATGATTTGGCTTAATTTCACATACCAACTAGGAATTTCCAGGGTAAGGTGGGGTCTAGTTTTCTCTTCTAATAGATGTACGTAGTATGCTATTGTCAGAATTCTATAAATACTTATCAATAGCAAAAAGCCATAGTTTTAAATTTTTACAAGGTTTAAATGAGGTGTTTTACTCTCCCATGTTGTCCAGTCACATCACAGTTAATCAGAATCTTACTTCTCAAAGTTAGACACCTTATGTCTCTTAAAAGATGTCTCTCAAATGATGGCGAAGAAACTGGAAATATATTGCTTCTCAACAGCAATAAATTCATCAGTTGAAACACGAGAGTTTTTCAAAATTTGTATTGTCAATGGCTCTCTTTTTCCAAGTGAAATATTTTACAGAACCTCAATAATTTGATCAAAGCAGACCTGGAGTGGAAGCTGGTACGCCCACCCTTATGTTCCCATCCCAACTCTTTAAAGCCTTGAAGCATCGTTTTATGAGAATACGGTTTAAAAACAGCTGCTCTAAGGCCCATTACACAGAAATCTAGTAAGAAAGATAACGGCATTTTCTGGGACAGGGCTTCACTGTCTACCTTGTACCCCATCTCTCTAGATCTCGGAGGTTCTGCAATCACATTATTCAAAGAAACCCCACTGCATTGTTATGGTTAACTTGTCCAACTGAGTCTGAGTTATCTGTGACCCTGGAGGTAGGATATGTGCATTTGTCTCTTTACGTGTTGCACAAAGATATAAAAAATTAATTTACACTCAAGTTAATAAGGGAGCCACTAGAAATGCTCTTCATCCATGGGACCCTGAGACTTCTCTGGGAACTGTCATCTGTGGACCTTCCTTCTTCATCCAGGCCCTACCTTGTATTCTTGGATAATTCCATTCTGATGATCTGGTGGAGGAGGATCCCAGGAAACACTGATACTTGTGCTATTGTGGCTTCCGACTGTCAGGACAGTGACAGATTGTGGAGGGGCACTTGGGGCTGTGGAGGAAGTGATTAGAATAAACACGAACTGTAAATCTTGGTGTGCATTAATGCTCCTTACAAAATATGAACATAAAGACAAGATACAAGAGGTTCTGGTTTCCAGTAGTTCTGAATTTGCAGATAGTATTCAACAATGAGTTTTTATTTTTTAATCCTTTAAATATAATGGTTAGATTTAAAGCAAATTCCAAGCTATGGTAATATGTCCTTATTAATAAACTTAACAGCTAACATTCTAATGAGTGTTTCCTATATGCCCAGAACTGAACGTCAGATTTAATTCTCACAATAACCTCAGGAAATAGAAACAACTCTTATCTCAGTTTTACAGATAAGAAAACAGAAGGCTACTGCAA